AAAAAAATGCGAATTTCGTGGAAAAATCAGATTTAAAGCATCGTACAATATGTTTAATTACCATACTTACACTTACCCACGCACCTATACAACGTGTATATGAAATTAACTTTGGATTGTTCCCACATATCTTTGCTATTTTTATACTCTCGCAACAAAGTTGCTAAAGAGAGTATTATAGTTCTGTTCACATAACGGTTGTTAGTAAGTCCTAAAACTAAAAGAGTCAGATATAGGGTTATATATACCAAAGTGATCAGGGTGACGAGTAGAGTTGAACTCCGGATGTCTGTCTGTCCGTCCGTCCATCTGTCCGTCTGTCCGTCCGTCCGTGCAAGCTGAAACTTGAGTAAAAATTGAGATATCACGATGAAACTTGGTACTCGTATTTCTTGGCTCCCTAAGTAGGTTAAGTTCGAAGATGGGCAAAATCGGCCCACTGCCACGCCGACAAAATGGCGAAAACCGAAAACCTATAAATTGTCATAACTAAGTCATAAATAAAGATATTAAAATGAAATTTGGCACAAAGGATCGCATTAGGGAGGGGCATACAAACTGTATAGAGCCGTTTCTTTTAGGCATTTTCATATACAGCTCAAAAATGGAAGAAATCGGATAATAACTACGCCCACCTTCCATACAAAGGTTATGTTGAAAATCACTAAAAGTGTGTTAACCGACTAACGAAAAACGTCAGAAACACTAAATTTTACGGAAGAAATGTCAGAAGGAAGCTGCATCCAGGTTTTGTTTTTAAATTGAAAATGKGYGTGGCGTCGCCCACTTATGGACCAAAAACCATATCTCAGGAAGTACTCAACCGATTKCAATGAAATTCGGTATATAATATTTTCTTAACACCGTGATGACATGTACCAAATATGGGTGAAATCGATCGGTTCACAACCACGCCTGAAATCTCGATTATCACTTTATCATGCGAGAGTATAAAATGTTCGGTGACACCCGAACTTAGGCCTTCCTTACTTGTTTTTATTTACTATATTTACAAAACTCGTTTGATATTTGTTCCCAAATGCCAATTGCACGAATGTCGTATTCTTTCAACCACTCACTTCAAAACAAGTCGTGATGTAAGCATATTTGGATTATATTTGTCACTCGCTAATGACAATACGTAACACTATAAATGCATAATAATGTAAAAATTTTCTAAATAAAAGCGATTAAATACAAATTTAACTGTTTTATAAGAAAATTTTTTATTTTATTTATTTATTTATAACAATTTATACAATAATAAATTACAGCATAAATTAAAAAGCGACTGGGCTTTCAGTCGTTTATATATATATAAGATAATATATATATAAGAAAATAATTATTAAATAACTATAATAATAAGTAAATAAATAGGCCTAGCAGATTAATTTTACTTTAATTGGTCACCAAATATTCTTGCCGTAAAACAAGTTAGCATTCCCTGTGATTAATTATTTGTATTTGAAACTATCGCGAGTATAAGGCAAAGAGTAAAATTAGCTAAGCAAGAGCTTACCCGAGCGATTCTGTGATACAGCCACAAGTCTCTAAACTTGAAATTTTAAATTAAAGAAAATTTTTGTGACTTGACATTAGTTTGCAATCCTGTAATGTTCTATGTAAATGAAAATAAATATGTCGATAACAAATATTAAATTTTCTATAACATAGTCAAAAAACATAATTACCAATAAAAATAAAAATATGTTGATTTTGTTTCATAATATTTACGAAATTTATGAACAATTTATTTAGTTTTAACTTTTTCGTGTTTGAGTTGCTAACAAAATATAAAAACAAAACGACAACCGATTAATAACTATGATGATCTCTATGCAGTATATTCAAAATGGCAAACAAGTGTTCTTTATAGTTTTGTGACCTGCTAACTATCAGGACAATATTTTATGATTAATGCTAGAGACTGTTTAGTGAATCGAAACTACAAGTAGTCTGAAATTGAGACTAGAGACTGTTTACAGAATTCCGCTATAAGGCTATTTATATATCTCATACAGCTCATCGTTTCATCGTTTCATCGAATGTGATATTCGCCGTGGCCAACGCGCAAAGGACCATAAATCTTTCGCAGAACTTTTCTCTTGAAAACTCGCAATGTCGATTCATAAGTTGTTGACATCGTGCAAGCCTCTGCACCATATAGCAGGACGGGTATTATGAGTGACTTATAGATTTTGGTTTTTGTTTGTCGAGAGAGGACTTTGCTTCTCGATTGCTTACTGAGTCTATAGTACCTGTTGGCAAGAGTTATTCTGCGTTAGATTTCGAGGTTGACATTGTTGTTGCTGTTCATCTTGGTAATAAAATAGACGAAATTGTCTACGACTTCGAAGTTATGACTGTCAACAGTGACGTGGGAGTCATGTCGCGAGTGCGACGACTGTTTGTTTGATGACAGGAGATATTTCGTCTTGCCCTCGAAATGCTAGAAGAAGATTGTACCTTCTCTGAAGATTATAGAAGATTGCGCCTCTCTATTTAGTCCTGCAACTCGAATTATTTTCTCCAGAAGCAGGTTGAAGAAGTCGTACGACGGAGCTTTTGGTGTTGCTCAACGTCAGCTTACACAGCCGTTTTAGTTTTGCGGGGATACCACATTTAGACATCGCGGCATAAAGGCAGCTCCTTTTCGTGCTGTCGAAAGCAGCTTTGAAATCGACAAAGAGGGGGTGTGTGTCGATTCTCCTTTCACGGGTATTTTCAAAGATTTGGCGCATTTTGAGAGTCTGGTCGGTTGTTGATTTGCTAGGTTTAAAGCCACATTTACAAAGCCTTATATGCGATGTTGAGGAGGCTAATYCCACGGAAGTTGACGCAGATCGTGGGGTCTCCCTTTTTGTGGATTGGGCATAGCACACTGAAATTCTAATCATTTGGCATGCATCCTTCCGACCATATTTTACAAAGGAGCTGATGCATGCTCCTTATCAGTTCTTCGCCGCCGTGTTTGAATAGCTCGGCCGGCAATCCATCACCCCCCGCCGCTTTGTTGTTCCTTAGGCGAGTAGTTGCAATTCGAACTTTTTCATGGTCGGGCAATAGAACGTCTGCTGCCTCGTCATCGATTTCGGAATAGGCTTCGCCTTCTCCTGGCGTTGTGCGTTCACTGCCATTCAGCAGGCTGGAGAAGTGGAGGAAATGAATTTAAGTCTGCTCTGGGCATAGGTGACTAGATCACGTTTGGGGGTTCTACAAGAGTATGCTCTGGTCTTGAAACCTTCTGTAAGCCGCCGCATTTTTAATCGAATTTTCGAGCATTACCCCTTGTCAAGCTCTTCGTACTTCCCTCTTCAACTCTCGGTATCTATCCCATCCCGCACGTGTTGTGGTCGATCGTAACGTTGCGCGGAAGGCAACCTGTTTTCTCTCCGCTGCGATATGGCACTCCTCGTCGTACCAGCTGTTCTCTTGCACTTTCCGAAAACCAACGGTTTCGGTTGCAGCTGCATGTAAGGAGTTTGAAATGCCGACCCACAGTTCCCTTATACCGAGTTGTTGACGAGTGCTCTCAGAGAGCAGGAGTATAAGAGGAGTAGAAAATCGTTCGGCTCTCTGTTGTGATTGCAGCTTCTCGACGTCGAACCTTCCTTGTGTTTGATGGCGTGGCGAGTCGATGTTAGGATCTCGGGGCGCACGCATACCTAAAACACTGGAGACATGTCTTCCGTCTACCACAATATGATCGATCTGGTTGATGGTTTTTCGATTCTGAGACAGCCAGGTAGCTTGATGTATCTTCTTATGCTGACATCTAGTACTACAGATAACCAAATTTCGGGCTCCGGCGTAGTCGATCAGCCTCAACCCATTTGGGGATGTTTCCTCGTGGAGGTTACATTCACCGACCGTAGTGCCAAAGATACCTTCTTTGACCACCCTGGCGGAGTGCGCTCCAGGCACTCATAAAAGGCATCTTTGGTCACATCGTCCTTCTATTCCGTCGGGGCGTGGGCGATAATCAGCGATATGTTGAAGAACCTCGCTTTGATGTGGATTGTGGCTAGACGTTCATTCACCGGAGTGAATGATAGTACTCGGCGACGGAGTGTCTCTCCCACCACGAATCCGCTCCTTTATATGGCCACTGTAGTAAATGCCACAAGGACCTGCTCGTCTCTGTCCTTGTCCCCTCCATTGCATTTCTTGGACGGCGGTGTTGTCAACTTTTATTTTCACGAGGACATCAACCAACTGGGCAGTGGCGCCTTCCCAATTAAGGGACCGGACATTCCAGGTGCATGTCCTCAATTGGTAGTCCTTATTTCGGGTTCTGTGGTCGTCATCAAAAGGGGTGTCTCTCATCCGAGGCTGTTAGTAGTTTTTCATTGGTAGTGTTTTTTTACGTGGAGGGTACCAAACCCAGCGCACCACCCTATGTAGGGGATATTTCGTCTTCTCACTTTAGCTCATCTTCAAACGGATGTTCTTAGGCTACCCAGAGGATACTTGGTCAAAGATCGGAAGTCGTGAGCTGTTTGAGTCACACTTAAAAGAATCGTGTCTGGCCACTCCTAAGTGATCAGAAAACCTTCCTCACTTGCATGAACTTCTTTACATGACTCCATTCTCCTAATTGGATCCACAATGTCGAAATCAGATATTTTCTTTGTATTTTTTTAAATTTTTTTAGGGATAACTGAATTCAAACAGCTTGTAAATACACAAAATTATGAAAATGTTGACATACATTTAATGAGAAAAACAAAAAATGAGTGATTTTGTCATTATGGATACAAATACTTCTTTCGTAAGAGGAAGCACGTCCGTCCGACACAACCTATTATAATGGAATCATAAAGTCAATCACAGATCGAAATGAGTTAATAATTGCAAAAACTCATTACGAGTCTTGTGAGAAAACACTATACCCAAAATAAATGCAATTCCCTACAATCATCTCTAATAAGTGTAAGAATTTGTAATTTACACAATACATACATATAAGTACATATGTTTTGATATTCTTATTGCAGATGCTTTCTAAGACCAGCATATTCATCTATATTATATTAGTGACAAGAGTCCTAATTTATGGATTCACTAAAGTTTCAAATTCAGCTTACCATATTATTCACAATGATCATCCAATTCAAGAAGTGTTTGGATTTCTTCGAGAGAACGCGCCCCGCTATCGAAGTCCGCCTCCGCCACCAATGCTACTTTCAAATAGAATACAAGGGTATGTATGTATAGTATATTTGTATATTGAAGGAGACAAAATAGATTCTTAGGTAATAATATATAAGCTTCGTCTAAATTAAAAAATTTCCAAAATGTTTAATGGAAAAACAAATCAATAATATTTCTTTTTAGCACAACGTCCTCTGCACCCACGAACCCATTTGCTCAGTTCAATCCTTCTTATGGCGCGCATTTCCCCATCGGTGGTGTAGCAATATGTGCCATGGCTCCTCCTACTTGCGAAAATTCGGTATATAGAACCATGGATGGATCCTGTAATCATCTGGATAACCCCGCATTGGGAGTTGCGAATTCAAGGTAGATAGCATTTTGTTGAAATATGTGAAATATTGAATATATTTATATATGTACATATACCAGGTTATTTTTAAGCAACTACATAAACCATCAAATTAAAATTTCAAATTTTTAGGTTGTTACACCTAATTCTTCATATACTGGCTACAAGCTAGGACACAATTTGGTCTCCATCATTCCCATATGATGTTGAAAATTTATTATCAGTGTTGAATGATCAAAATGTGAGGTTCCGAGTATGGAACAAGTAATTTTTCCTTGATATTGGGAAAATTATTACATTTACTAATTTAAGCGATATGGACAATGATTTCTTTTTATATCGCCATGCCTAGTTGATAACATACATCTCAGTTTTACTGCCTCGTTAACTAAATGCATGAAACTTTTAATTGCATACATATGCATGTGTGTTATAATAAGAAGCCTTTGTACCGCTTTTTTTCAATCGTGATAAAAAACGAAATCTATGATTTATCGAACTAAATATATAATCATATTTTGTGATTTTGAGGCAATGTTGTTTTGCGAAATATTGCAAAAAAAATTTTAAAATTTACATGTCACTCACTGTCCCCAAATTTGCCGAAAAGAAACCAAGATGAAAAGTTCATAGGAAATCCCATGCACTATGACGCTGAGTCTTAAAACTTAAGGGGGGAGTCTGCTTAAGAAGCTTTAAAAAAATAGATATATATATTTGTTTTTGCTTAAATCTCTTTAAAAATTATCTAGTTATATATTCCCAAAGTTATAGATGGGAATTCGAAATATTGGTGAAGCTAGAGGGTAAATAGTGTCTAGCAGATACATATATGAGCTCCTGCTTGGGCAGGAAACGATTTCTCGGTTTTTCATTTTTACAATTTTTCTTAATTGGAGAAAAACTAAACATCGTATGGAATTGGGGCAAAGTCTTTATCTTTGCCATTAAATTATCTTTTATTTAAACTAAAAGAACTAAGAAAAGTCAAGTTTGAACATATTTTTAAACAATATAAAGTAATTTTTTTTGGTTAAGGACCCCTTTTTCCAATTATTTAAAAATTTGTAAAATTTTACACTTTTCTTGGAATGTTCTTAGTTTAATTAGAAGATTAATTATTATGCAAATGCACATGCGAGATGCATCGGGTAATTGCTTCCCAAAGCCAAAATATCAAAGATTTCGTATCCAAATGTGTGAAAGATGTTCAAGTAATAACTATAAAGCCTAGAAATTTCGCTTTAATCAAAAATACACAGCTAAAGAGTCGCTTGAGTCTCTTAAGACTTCACCTTCTGAAATTATTGGTRTCATCAAAGAACTTAATCCAAATAATATTTCCCCAAAAATGCTAATTAAGTTGCTCTCTTTGCTCTTCAATGCAAATCCAATTTCATGGAAAAGGTCGCAGATTATCTTGATAGATAAACCTGGGAAAGACTTAAAATAGCCGTCTTCATACAGACCAATCATTCTTCTACCCTATCTTTCAAAAGATTTTGAAAAAGTATTACTATCAAATATGTCTCCTTTCCTCCACGAAAATAATACAATACCGATGTCCGAACATGGCACAATAGAGCAAGTACTAGCGAGATAAGGAAAGTATTTGAGCACAGGTAGTACTATTCAGATGTAACTCAGGCGTTTGATGAGGTGTGGCATGGAGGCATTTTATATAAGATTAGAAAAATTCTACCTTCAGAATTGTATAAAACATTGGAGTCTTATTTAAATAATCGACAATTTGTAGTGAAAGTTTTAGATTTCATATCTGATGAAAGACAGATAAGGGCTGGTGTACCACAGGGCAGCATTTTAGGCCCAACTCTATACGTCATAAATACAGCAGATCTTCCAACAGCTAACAATGTATTAACTTAAACTTTTGCGGACTGGCGTATAAATGTGAATGAACAGAAATTTAAGCAGGTTACAATTTCGCTTAGACCAAAAATGTGCCCGGCAGTAAAAATAAACAATATTTTAGTACCCCAATCGAACAAAGTAACATATCTTGGTGTTCACCTAGATAGAAGACTCACATGGAGAAAACACATCTCTAGTAAAAAACATGTATGAAGATTAGAGCTTTGAGAATGAGAACAGAGAATTGGCTGTTAAATAAAAACTCTAAACTTAGCCTAGACAACAATGTGCTTTTATTTATTGCAGCCATAAAGCCGATTTTTATGTATGGCAGTCAACTGTGGAGTACGACCTGTGTAATTAATATCGATATAATGCAAATATTCAAATCGAAAAACCATACAACAACCCTTGTTCGCTATGGAACATGGGTAATGAAAATATCAATAAAAGCCTTTGTATTCCTATGGTAAAGAAAGAAGTAGAGGAGAGCAGAATAAAGTATACAGGTATATATAAACTCCGAGATCACCCAAACCCATTGGTTAATGCTTTATTACATTCCTGCGATCAAACACGCCTTAAAAGAAAAGATTTACCTGCGTACTAAAGAGCAACGTATCACCAGTACAGCTCAATCAATTGCTTGAGCTTGTCTAATTTTATTTAAGATTTTATAACTTATTGCTAGGCTTAAAAAAAGCAGATCCAATAAATAAAATAATATTGAAAAAAAAAATAAAAGTTTAATATTTTGTGAAAACAAACGAGTAAATCCAGTAAATGACAATAAGTTCGAACACTTCAAAGTTACTCTGCTCTATGAAGGAATCAATCGTAGCAAAGCTACGAATACAAACGACCATAATTTTCTTTCACTGAATCCATGTGAATTTGAAACTTTTGTTACCAGACTTAATTTCTCATTTTCACATTTCGAAATAAACTGGGTAGAAGAAAAAAAAATTAAATTTTGATGAATATTTATAAGTAAAATATGGATCCGCTAACTACCACTCCACGAATTTCGAGCTTCATTCGGAATTGTTCGAATTGTATGATAGCAATTTCATATCTTTACCGAGAAAACAGTATACGCGGGCTTTATGGAGAATAAGAATACTGATGTTACTCCTACATAAATTTTAGTAAAGCTTCTGATAAAATAAACCATTCAAATCTTTTCATCTCCTCGGTTTTTAACCAATATATATAAAATGGGTTGCTTCTTATCTTAGTAATAGAATTCAACAAGTCATATTTAATGATACTCTTGCTGCCAATTCTGTTCTTGTTATTTATTAATGAAATATTGTAAGTATTCAAGAGTTTTGTTATATACTGACGATGTAAAACTTTTGAAATCATATACTTTAAATATTGAAAGATGTCAGTTACAAACAAACATATGTATAGCGGGATTCTGTAACCAGTCTCTCGTGTCCATTTGGGACATTTTTTGGTAAAGTCTCAATTTGGAACTAGTTACTATTCACTAAACAGTCTCTAGCGTTAATCTCAAAATATTGCCTCAAATTTGAGACCCAATGGTTAGGAGATCACAAAACTAAAAAGAACTCTTGTCTGCCAGTTTGAATATACTGAAAGAGATCATCATAGATATTAATCGAATGCCATTTTTTTATAGTTTGTAAGAAACTCAAACACGAAACGGTTAAAAATAAATAAATATTCCTAAATATTATGAAACAAAGTCAACATATATTTTTCTTTTTATTGATAATTATATATTTTGACTATGTTATAGAAAACTTAATATTTGTTTATTTATATTTATTTTCATTCAACTGTAAAAACATCTCTGAATAATGAAATGTAATAGATTTTGTGCCTGTAACTTACAGAATAGTAAAATCTTCTCGAGGCTCAATTTGTCTCTAACTTAAAATCTCAAATTTAGTGACTTGAGACTGTATCACAGCACAGAATCGCACGGTTAAACAACCTAGTTTCTTGGTGTGTTAGAAATGATTACCATAGAACCTTAAAAAATGTAAAACGATGTGGTTTTCACGTAGATATATAGACCCTACTTCATACGTAATAATAAACTTTATGTTGGAGCAAGTATGCAGTTTTGTTTATCTGGGAGTAACTGTGGATCCCATTCTCAATTTTGGTATAAAATTTCTTGTAAAACTCATTAATGACTCAGTCCGTAATATGATATTAATTTTAACGTTCCCGCTCGCTCTACCAGGCGGTTTATACCTTTACTTCTAAAATTTTGTGGAACAAATTTTGAGTTAAACGAACCATTCCGCCGTACATGTCACAGTTTCAATTCTCATTCCAGCACATTTGATCTAACAGTCTCACTTTTTACCACTAAATAAACTATTTCATCTACTCTTAACAAGTAACATTCAAAAATAATAAACTTACTTTTATCTAATTCTTAATTTTTGCTCTTGAAATTTTTGTTTCTTTGGCTGAGCAGCTTAAGATCGCAACGCTTAAAACTATCTTACCTTTTATGACTGGTCTAATTCCGCTCGTTTGCGGATCGCGTCCCTCGCGTCGATTGAGCGGGAGGAGGGTAATCGTTGGGTATTACTATATATATACCCTAAACTTTCGCTGATACTGAGGCCACACCTGGCAAAATTGGTTTCAAGGTCAACAAAGTTGAAACTAAATGTATGCTGATGACCAAAAAAAAAACCAACCAGTATATATAGTTAAAAATGTTAAAGCCTTTACTTACTTGGGCTTCGAACTCCCGTAACGATAACTCAAGAAGCCATTTACAAATAATATTTTAAAAGTATTGAATATTATATTATAATAGTATGTAATGTATACCATAAAAAGAGCGCGAGACTCGATTCATCTTTTTCCTTATTGGCGCAAACACCGCTTTTGCGGTTACAGCCGAGTTTACAACAGTACGCCTGCCATTCTTCCTTTTCATTGTTTGGCGTCAGATCTTTCTTCACCTAGCATAGCCGTTGTCTCGTAATTAACTGAACTATGTCAATATCGTCGTATAACTCCTTCATTTCATCATTCCATCGAATGCGATATTCGCGCGCTGCAAATGCCCAAAGGACCATAAATCTTCCGCAGAACCTTTCTCTCGAAAACTCGTAACTTCGATTCATCAGATATTGCCATGGTCCATACCTCAGCACTGTACAGCTAAAATTAGTGACATGTTGGGTTTGGCCTTTGTTCATCGAGAGAGGACTTTACTTCTCAATTGCCAGTCCGAAGGAGCCTGGCAAGAGTCATTCTGCGATGGATTTCGAGGTTGACATGGTTGTTGGTTCCAAGATAGACGAAATTATCTACGACTTCGAAGTTATGATTGTCAATAGTAACGTGGAAGCCAAGGCACGTGCCGCGACGACTATTTGTTTGAGGCCAATGATATGAATGATCATCGGTGTACGCCAGCGGCTTTACACTTTTATAGAATATTGTACCTTCTCGATTAAGCTCTGCAGCTAAATTACTATCACTATCACTATCAGTAAAGTGAAGAAGTCGCATGATAGGGAACGCCTTGTCGTTTGGTATCGAACGGCTCGGAGAGCTTCCTTACCCTTTGGTGTTGCTCAACGTTAGTTTACACAGTTTTTCGGGAATACAAAATTCAGATATCGGGGCAAAAAGGCAGCTCCTTTTCGTGCTGTCGAAAGCAGCTTTGAAATCGACGAAGAGGTGGTGTGTGTCGATTCTCATTTCACGGGTTTTTCCAAGACTTGGCGCATGGTGAATATCTGGTCGGTTGTTGATTTGCCAAGACAAAGCCACACTGATAAGGTCCAATCACCTTGTTGACAGTGGACTTTAGTCGTTGACACAATACGCTCGATAGAACCTTATATGCAATGTTGAGGAGGCTTATGCCACGGTAGTTGGTGCAGATTGTGGGGCCTCCTTTTTTATGAATTGGGCATAGCACACTTGAATCCCAATCGTTGGGCATGCTTTCGTCCAACCATATACTACAAAGCTGATCATGCTCCTTATTAGTTAGTCTTCGCCGTATTTGAATAGCTCGGCCGACAATATATTTCCCCCACCGCTTTATTGTTCTTTTGACGGGCAATTGATATTCGAACTTTTTCATAGTCGGGCACCGGAACGTCTGATCCACCGTTATCGATTGGGAAATCAAGTTCACCATCTCCAAGAGATATGCTTTCTCTGTCATTCAGTAGGCTGATGAAGTATTCCCTCCATAATTTTAGCATGCATTTGGCATCAGTCACTAGATCGCCTTTTTGGGTTCTACAAGACTATGCTCCGGTTTTGAAAATTTCCGTTAGTCGCCGCATATTTTTGTAGAATTTTTTTGGGCATAACCTATTTCGGCCAGCTTGTCAAGCTCTTTGTACTCACAGATTTCAATTTTCTTTTTTTGTCCGCAAATGTGCTTCGCTTCCTTCTTTAACTCTCGGTATCTATCCTATATTCCGTATCACAACATGATCGATCTGTTTCATGGCTTTTTCATCCTGAGGCAGCAAGATAGCTTGATGAATTTTCTTGTGGTGGAATCTAGTACTGCAGATAACCGGCGGAATCGATCAGCTTCAACCCATTTGGGGATGTTTCTTTGTGGAGGTTGAATTTACCGACCGTAGTGCCAAAGATACCTGCCTTGTCCACCCTGGAGTTAAAGTCATGAAATATATCTTAGGTCACATGGTCCTTTCTTCCGACGGATTGTGCCTAGACGTCCATCCGCCGTGGTGAATCTGCGTATTCGGCAACAAAGTCTCTCTCCGGCACTGAATTTTTGCTCCTATATATGACTACTGTAATAAATTCGACAAGGACCTACTCGTCTCAGTCCTTGTCCCGTTCAGCACACTTCTTGGACGTCGGTGATGTCAGCCTTTACTTTTAGGATATCAACCAGCTGGTCAGCGGCCCTTTCCAAATTAAGGGACCGTAAATTTTAGGTTCATGCCCTTAAATCATATGATGTTTGAATGAATGAATGATGATGAGGAATGCACTGCGACCTTTGGTCTATTGTGCCCTCTCCTTACTCACATTGACTCGCTTAGCCCCAGCCCATTAATGAAGTCCAGTAGACTTCTTGGCGCTAGCGAGGCAATGCGATCCTTATCCGGAAACAACACTCCAAGGGCCTTGATCGATCAACAGATGCTCCGGAGTTTCAGGCTCCCTGTCGCAGAAAAGGCAGTTGGCGCAAACTGATAGGCCCATGCTGTGCAGATGCCTATTCAGCTTACAGTGGCCAGTATACCATGCGACTAACAGAATGAGTTTGCTCCTGGGGAGGTTTATTACGATTTTAAACCTTTTCAGGTTGTAACCTCCCATTAGCAGCTTAGCTTGTCTCATACCATGAGTTTGTTGCCAGTGCTCTTCCCTGCCTACTCTTTCCTTTTTTCGAAGCAGCTCCTTCATGGTGTGGGGTGTGTTCCCGTAAAGGGTTCGGGTCCTACCATCCTGGTGGATGATAATTGTTTATGACCACTCCCAAATGAATGGCGCTTAGAGAACTTGCACCACTCACAGAAACAAGTCGCTCGAAAATGTTGGACTTGACTCTCTCAAGTGATCGGAGACAGCTGACTATCCGCTCGTTTTTTAGCTACGAACGCTATCTATCGAATCCAGTCGGTGCGCGCACGGTCCGAAGTACAGACGCGACGGAAGAAWATCAGTCCTATTTCTATCGGGTCAAATTTCATGCAACATATTCTTAATTTGGTGAGATCTGATAATTTTAAGTGTTGATGAGATTGAAACAGTAATGTGAGTCAAAAATAGAGCTGATTTTTACCAACAGAACACTTCTCAATACTCATTTGATTTATAGCCCTTCGACGTTGTCTGCAACTACAAGAGACGTTGAAAAAGTTACTTGTGTCGATATTTTTGAGGTATATTTGAATTTCTTTCTAGTAAGTTTTAGTGTAAATAATGTTAATTTTTGAAAGTATATGATAAACCGAAGAAATATTGCTCCTCTTAGTTTAGATGTATAACCACCAAATACTTAACTGGTACAATATTTTAGGTACGGACGCCTTTTAGCACCGAAATACGGAGATGGAATTTCATCACCAACGCGCACATTAATTGGAGAAGATCTGCCAAATGCGAGACTTATTTCACTTGTTGTCTTCGGTGAGATGGACGTTCCGGATCCGCAATTTACTTTAATCAATATGCAATGGGGTCAGATAATGACACACGATATGAGTATGCAGGCAGGAGGAACGCAAGCCAGTAAGCAATCTTGTCGTAGAAAATTTTTCGTTTTACTACTGTTTAACATTGTTATATTTTCCTACAGGAAAACATCCAACTCGATGCTGTACTGACGATGGTCGTTTAATAGCATCGAATGAAGCTCCCACAACATGCTATCCTATAATTGTGCCACCCAATGATCCCGCATACTCTCAAATAGGAACTGAGTGTCTGGACTTCGTGCGAACACTAACAGATCGTGACATTAAATGTCTATATGAACAAGGCCCAGCAGAACAGTTGACTGCTGTGACATCATATGCTGATCTCTCATTAGTTTATGGAAATTCTATACAACAAAATAGTGAGATACGGGCTTTTCAAGGCGGTCGCATGTCAGTTGATCAAAGGAATGGTGCAGAATACTTACCCCCTTCTCGAAATGCTTCTAGCGATTGTGATTCTGCTCCACCTGGGGAGGTCTGTTATCAAGCTGGTGACATTCGTGTAAATCAAAATCCTGGTTTGGCGATTTTACATACTATTTTACTCAGAGAACACAATCGCATTGCCGATGTACTGGCAAAACTTAATCCTCATTACAATGATCGCACACTATTCCAAGAGGCACGCAAAATAAATATTGCTCAATACCAACATATTAGTTACTACGAGTGGTTGCCCATATTCCTTGGATCCGAAAATATGTTAAAAAACAGACTAATTTACAAAACCTCATCCAAAAATTTCATTAACGATTTTGATAGCGCAATTGATCCATCAGTCTTGAATGAACATGCGACTGCTGCTTTTAGATATTTCCATTCACAAATAGAAGGTCGTCTTGAGTAAGTAAAATTTTTTGGTTTATATGTACATTGTGCATATTCGTGTAAAATATATCAATTTTAGTTTGGTTTCTGAATTGCGATCAGTTTTTGGATCACTTCGCTTAAGCGATTGGATGAATCGGCCATCCATAATTGAGGTCGGCGACAATTTCGACTCATTAACCCGAGGCCATTCAACACAACCCGAGGAGCTTACCGACATCAATTTCGACAGGGAGGTATGTACTAATTTAGTTTAGATTTCGAATAAATGGTTTGTAAGTAATTTTTTTAACAAATGGCAATTTATTATTTGTATTGAATTAAGTATTTTAAAATATTTGAAAGCAATATTTTTTTTTGTTAACAATGCACGTAATTTTATGATGTTTAAATATTATTTCATATTGTTTTTCTGATATTCAAGAAATTTGCAAACGAGAGAACACTAGAATTTTATTTCGAGAGAAATCGTAAATTTGTTCTGCTCAAATGTTTGTTTGCATATAATGTGAATGTTAAATGGTTACATTTTGGTAAACTTTTATATCTTCTATATCAGACCCGGTAGTTTAAATCGTTCCCTACCGTTCGTCTATACATATCTTACTTTTCTCAGACCTTAATGAAGAAAAAATCTCTGAAACTGATGCCTATTTTAAAACGAAAAGCTAGACTTCCTAGTAGTTTCCAACTGAAAAAACGAATTGTCAAAAACATTGTTTGCCTATATTCTCAGATAAAGCACTTCTTATTGAGACGCAACATGCCTTTCGGTAGTGATTTGAGAGCAATTGATATCCAGCGGAATCGGGACCATGGATTGGCGTCTTACAACGATTTAAGAGAATTTTGTGGAGTAAAGAGAGCAAATAGATGGGAGGATTACAGCGATCTTATTGAACTCGATGTATGCATACCTCGTTGAAAGTAAATAGGATAAAATATAATTTCTCATTTTCAGGTTATTGAAAAAATGAAAACCTTGTACGCAAGCCACGAGGATGTGGATCTGACGGTGGGAGGAGCTGTGGAGGCTCATGTGGCTGGCACACTTGCTGGTCCTACATTCCTCTGTATTCTTACAGAACAATTCTATCGTACACGTGTTGGCGATCGTTTCTGGTACGAAAATGGTGGCTCATTAACTGGTTTTACTGAAGGTAATATTTTTTTTATTATGATAATGCCATATAAAATAAATTTAACTTTATTTATTATAATAAGTTGTCTATGTAGTTAGTTCGTTTGATATCAGTTTAAAAAGTCAACCATGAAATATAAAATCTCAAGTTCCAGAAAAACCGTGTACAACTCTATTACAGAATATTATTTATTTATTATTTCGGAGATTCAATATCAATTAAGAAAATACAAATTTGTATATTAATCAAATTCTTTTCGAATATACAAATTTATTTTGTGAGAAATCTTATAAAAATAAAACACATATACATTTGCTCTTTTTGTGCAAAATAATCATAGATTGATTACTGACAACTAACGATGTTCATAAGAATAGGAAACTCCAACCCTAAAACCAATAGCATTGATATTTTTTCCAAGGTTAAAAAATATGTGAAAAATCTATCAGAGGTGTTGTGGAATCCAAGACAGAATTGCTTAGCTGTCAGAATTGCAAACCAATTCCGATTATCAATGGTGTCACAGAATCTGATTGGATTTTCGTCTTTTCGAACATACGAATCAGCTGTTACTAATGTGACAAAACTTGAAAATGAATACATTTGGAAGCAATCCTATTCAAGTTTTTAATGAGTTCCGAATTTAAGAAAGATTTTAAGAGATAACATTTATCGAATGAATAAAGACGCATGTGGGTGTTAAATTACGTTTATTTCGTTTTTTAAGTCTTATTTAAGGGGGGAGCCTATTTTAGTTATCTTTAATATATCTTTAAAAATTATCTAAGAATAGGGATAGAAAAAAAGGCTGAGTTCCAAGTTACATGTTGCTTTGCATTGTTGCGATACCGATACCGAATTTATACAATATCAACAATGCAACCGTACTGCTTTGTTTCAATTTGCTTTGTATCAACTTTGACATTTTGTGACAATGAACAGTGGATCCGCTTGTATAGAACAGCGGCCAAAATTTTTTTTTTTTTGACATAGCGGGTTGAAATTCTTTCCAAAAAAAAAAAAATAAGATAAGAAATTATAAAAAAAATTTGACAAATCAAACGACTATATCCAATAGTTCCCATAGGAATGATCGAAACAAACATAATAATTTTTTGTTTTTGATAAAATTGAAATTATTATTTTTTATCTACATTGCAGTTATATTTTTAGAAAAATGTTGTTTTACATATACATACATATCATCAAAAATCCAACAAAAAAAACAATAAAAGAAAAATTAAGGAAACAAAAATTATATACAATCATCTAGTAATTCATAAACAGATTTCAACAAAGTCGACTTGTCTCTGTCCTGTTACAAAGGGATCTGAGCGCAACAATAGTGCACTAATGATATCTGTGTTTGTTAAAGTACGCGACACTTTCCGACTGTGCTGAAGTCTACATTTTTTAATTCCTTGTTATTGGACTCTGCAGCTTCTTCCCAAAGCTCTCCAATCGACACTAATGCATGCTCTATCACAGCAGAACCATGTATTAAAACCTTGTGAWCGGTTGCCGGCAAATAGTACCATGGATATGCAGTTATCAGATCTTTAGCTGTATCCAGCGCGTAGAGTTTACATTTCTCCGCATTAATTTTATACCCAGATGCCATGGCTTGCAATAATGTAGCACACCTATGAATCAAACATTCATCAATTCCTGTGATTTCGGAACTCAAGGCTGCATTAGAAAAGAATTTTCTTGCGATATTTCCATCGTTGGCCGATCCTCTACCTCCATCTCTAGGTTTGTCCACTATTATACCCATTTTTTCGCGAAATTCCGTCTGAATTTTGTTTTTTATCTCCARTACTTTACTTTTCTTCTCTGTGTCTCTTACTTGCCACATTTTGACCTCTAGTTTATATGAAACATGTAAAAAGTATTCAAAGAAGCGTATGTATGAATGCAGTGGGGATAAGCCAAATTCATAAAATGTTGTGCGAACTTCTTTACTCAAAYATTTTTGAACATCGTTCATTTCTGTTGGCCGTGCTGTACATATATAACACTTTGCAGAGGAARATTCGCTGATCGCGTTGCACACTTTTCCATCTACCATAGTAAGGTGSAAGTTATGTGTAATAACTATTTTTCTATTAGGTCTACAGTAACGAGTCGATGATGGTCGGGGGTTTTTCCAAATTATTTGATAATCTATTTTCGAAACTAGTTGGAGAGGTACGTATGATGTTACAAGCTTCTATCGTTCAAATCACTGGATGAAAACTTTTGCTTATACTCGCTATGTAACGTACATCCGACAAAGCCCCATTTTCCAATTAATTGCTAACTGCATTCTCAGGAATAGTTTCAATTGGTTGGTCTGAAGCTCTATTATACTAGATGCTGTACTGTTAAGTAAGCTTTGCAATTCGACTTCCGCATGAGATTCGTCTACAAAAATATTGTGTGGGTATCTACTTTTTTTTTAATTTTGTATTTTTTGATAGCTTAGAAACAAATCAAAGGAAATTTTGCTGTTCACAAAATTTCTTATCAGCAAATGCTGGTGTTTCGATATAGAGGTCTCCATTAAGAGTGAAATAACTTCAATGGGATCTGTTGGCAGAATCTTTTGATTCTGATGTTCATTGCGTAGAGCAGAAACAGCGGACTCATCTATTTCACTCAGTTGAGCTATACGACGTCGCATAGTTCTCGTTGAAGAGTCAGCAAAATCCAGTTGAGGACGGCCACGATGAGTTCTTTCCTCGATCTGCTGCGATTTACACTGCGTGCGTTTTAACAAAATCGATTCCTCTTTATTCAGSCMACYAGATTGGTATTGAAGCACTAAAGATTTTTTGCGTTTTCAATTCTTCCAAAAAGTTGAAACTGTTCTACAGATGTTCTCAACTTTTTTCGACAGATCGCTCAACTCTGTAATGTAGCCGTTGTTTTGAGTATTCCCCTGCACAACTAAAATCAATTTCKTCAGTTTATCTGATTTGGTTCCGTGTTCTGTGCACCATATATTCAAAATATGAAGGCGTTTAAACACACACTTATGGGAAGAACCTACATCAAAAATTATTCAAAGGAAACATAAACAAAATTTAGATATTTATTTATTAAGAGTACAAATATACACAGCTACAAAAGACGAAGACAGACCAACACAGCACAATAGACAAAAGGACAACTTAAACGGCCTTAGTATTTTTACGATTATACAGACATCTGCACATTTCTGCAGATAAGTTTAACACATTCAAACCTTAAAAGTAAGATAAACATAATGACATACAAACCAATTTCTGCATTTTCTTGAAACACAACTAAAACTTCAACTAAACATAAAAAAGACGTTCACAAAATACACAAAATAGATACTATCGATAAAATTAGTTTTTCATGAAATACTTTACAAGGATGTTAATTATTAACATCTCAATTTAAAGTTAATGCCTTCAACTTCAAAATGCATTTTAAATAATCCAATTCCGAGCACTCTAGCAAACGTTTGATCTCTTTGAAGTTCGATTTTAATTTGACA